GTTTTCATTTTTCCCAAAAAAATGTTATTTGAGTAATTAAGTACTCTATACAGATTCTTAAATTGTTTATTTTGAAATTTTTGATATATAAAGGTAAAAAAAAAAATCACAGATATCTATATATTATAATAAAAAATATTGGTTATAGTCAAATTCATAGTGGAATTAAGGTTTTTATTATGAATTTTTATGGTTCTAGTAATTTATTAACTACAAGTCAAACTAGTTAAAATTTTATTTGATATGCAATTAGAAAAATTAAATATAATATTATTTATTGATCATGAAAACATAGAAGTTTTTTGTAATTTATCTTAAAAAATAAATTCATCAATGAATAAAAGATGGATGAAATGAACTACACCATATTCTAACAAGCATACTCCTTAGACATTTTAGGGTTCTTGGTTGGTGGTTTCTTGTTTGGAATAACTTTTTGCATTTCTTATTTATTTTGTGATTTTCATTTTTTTTAAAAAGTTTGTTGTGGAATTTTATGGAAAATGGTTTTATTCCATAAAAGAATTCATATTAAGATATTCCTCTCAAAATGGAAAAACCTTTCTTTTTCATCTAGATATAAACCATTAAACATTTCTCTTTCTGCAAGACTTAAACCATTCCTCATGCCCACCAAAGGAAATACCAAAAATCTTCTCTCTTCAAAACACCGCCTTTATATTTTAAGGAGCATGACTCATTCTTGGTCATTTTAAGGTTTTTGTTTAATGGTTTCTTATTTTGGATAAGTTTTTTGCATTTCCTTTTATTTTTTAAGAATAGTTTGTTGTGAGATTTTATGGAAAATATTTTTATCACATGAAGGAATTTGCACTAAGCTATGTAGACTCGATAATTGGTTAAAGAGACATGATAAAGTTTATTTAGGTTGAAGTTGATTGCTTGTTGTGAAAAAATGTGATTTTGTTTTCTTATGTTATAGATGCAAAAGTAGAGGTAAACAGATTGGTTGATTTTTGTGAAAAATATAGCCTACCCTTTAATGGTTTCTTCTATGTTAACAAGATAGGGAAGTTTGCTCTAGGGATTTGATAACTTAGTTGTTTGATTACTTCCTTGTAAGTGCAAAACCTATTGATACATATCTTGTACTAGAGTACGTAGAACAATAATAAATAGAACTTACTTGAGATAGTTTTGAGAGGTCAATAGCATAATTGTCAAAATTGCAAGTTAAATAATAAATCTTGTGATTTTGTAATCTCAAATATGCAAAACGATTCAGATTTGATATATAATTGAAATAGAAACAAATCACACTAGAATCACGATTATGATCGTGTGATTAATGAAATTATATAATCTTAAGTAATGTCACAATTCACAAATACTACTTTTTTTTCTCTTATACTTGGGTTTTGAATCGAAAATGGTGTATTTTTAGTTCACTTACTTTGGCTTATATATAAGTCAAAAAGCCTTTTATGCTTAGGTTTTGGAATGAAAATTGAGTAATTTTAACCCACTTACTTGACTTTAGATAATATAAGGATTTTATATAATATAAGGACATTGTTATCTTATATTAAATTATTTGAATTGTAACCAACTTAGTTTAGGTTTAAGAAATGAGAAATTAAGGAATTTTTTGCACTCAATTTTCAATTATTAAGGGATATAGTGAAATAAAATTAGTATTTAGCATTCACACACTTATGAAAAATTAGGGTAAAAATTGCTCAAAAACTACATTTATGTTTCAAGTTGTGATCTTACAATGCTTTTCCACACACATCTAATTAAAAGTGCTAAATTAATATGATTAAATTAATTTTAATTGATGTTTTGCATAATTTAATAATGAGATTCATGTTTTATAAGATGGATTGCATATCTTATTGCTCATTTGGAGTCTAGGATAAATGGTCAGATAGAATAAAATTTGTTTGTTCCTATTGTATCCCACGTTTGATAGACCAAAAGATTAAGACAATATTTATCTCATTTTTTATTGTATCATCTCTTTTATTAATAAACCTAATCCCACCTCCCCAATGGGATTAGGTGGGATTAACTTTTATTTTCATCTTTATCTTCACTCTCCACGATAATTCTTGGTCCTCCTTTCAGATTTTCATGCCAATGTTGATATTGATGCTAAAATCATCTAATTTGTCAACAACCCTTCTAAATCATCTCCTTCTTGTCTTTTCTTCTTCCTTCCTTCTTTATTTCTCCTCCCCTTTCTTCAATCATCATTTAATCTGAAGACCCAAACCAAACAACATTAAGAATCAAAACTACACTTTTGCTAACCTAGTTGGTAGGTTTCGAGTGATTCTCTGAAATCTTTAATTGTTGACTCCATTATAGATTTGAGGGGAGTGAGATGTGTTCTTTACGAGAAATTGAAATTTGATTTTTGAGCATTTTGAACTTATGCTTGTTAGAAATTCTAATGAAACATAAAAGATTATAGAAAACTTTGTTAATTTTACAGTACAGAACTGTTTAAACTTTAAAACAGTAGATTCATTGATCTGTGACCTTTTTTTTTCAAAACAATTATCAAACAATAATGCAATTTTTGTGATAGTAGAATACCCAAAAAGCCATAGCCATAACACTTCATAGTAGTCCTAACGAAAGCCTATGTTATTCTAGCTTTTTTTTTTCTTTTAATGAGAGTTCATAAACACTGCTCTTCCCCGTGGCCACCTTCTTAATATCTACTCCAATATGTCAAACTAGATGAAAAAGCATGTACTCACTCCCCCAACCACCACCAATTTGCACATTTCAAATTGCACATCACTTTTTATGCTTAAACACAATGTCCTTATACTTGACCCTTACAAAAACCTTTCCACCTATTTCCATGACTCCCTTACCCTTACACCTTGGGCCTTTACTCGTATCGTAAACCACAATCATCCATCCTCTAATCCCAAGATTGCTATAAATGATTGTAGAGTAAGCCTTGCTCAGTTTTCTCAAAATCCTAACAAAAGCCTTACCCTCCATGAAACCCTTTTATTGCCTTTTTTTCCAAGTTCCAACCCATGATACCTTGTTATGTAAGAAAAGCTCAATAACTACAAGAGGAGTTATCCATAGATTTCAACAACTAACCAACCCCTTTTCATTCTTTAACATAACATAAGCATGTAATTACTGTAGTTGTCATCCTAGAAAAATGATATAAAACTATTGTCTACTTAGGAAGTCATCATCCATCCCGAAACACTATATGCAAATAGTTATGAATCATACCAATTACTCACCAATGGTGAAACCATGATTTTTCCTTGGGTAGGGCCTTCCTGTCTTACCTTCACTTAATATATTATAGTTATATAGAATGAATAAAGTAGATAAAAAATTAAAATACAAAAGACCAAATTATAACACAAAAGAAAGAGCAAGGACTAGATGACAATAAAAAAAAACAATTGCAAATCCAATTGAAGAATTAACATGGGGTACTCCATTTTAGTAGATTAAAATATCGAAAATGTTATAATTACAATCACTTGATATTATAAATTTATAGTATTATATATCATTATATAATTAACTTTTTTTATTTAGGTGTTGACCTATAATATTGTATATATATACTTATTTAATGTTACATCATGATTAGCATTATAACTATAGTATTATTTTAAAATATAGGAATTCCTTTTTCTTTTCCAATGACACCCAAACCTAATTAAACCCTCAATCCTCCTTTAACCTTCCTTTATTGCAATGAATTAAGAAGGATTGGTGTAGATTCTCTTCTAGAAGCTTTGTGAGGGCCTAGTTTGATGGTGTATTGGAAGCTAATTTGGATAAATTATGGGATACTACTTAAAAATTAATTTGTATTGGGTAATACTTGGTTTTTAAGGGATCTAATTGAGAGAATATAAAATAAAATTTTAACTTTTTGAAAATGAGTTTCATTGATTTTAAGAGTTCAAGTCACTTGAACAAAGCTATGGAAGTGGAGGCTGCTAGAAACAAAGAGAAAAAAAACAAATTAAAAGTGGAAAATAAGAAAATTGTAACCGCAAGAAATTATACCGTGAGAAATTATACCGTGAGAAATTATACCATGAGAAATTATGAATCCAAGCATTTGTATTGATTTGCTACAAGGAGAAATAAATTTTGAAATAATATTATTCAAGGTATTAAATCTATTCTTCCTTTTGATTTTAGTTATTCAAGGTATTGGCTAAGTATTTATTTTTCCAATTTTCTTTCCACTTCAATATTTTATATATTTCTTTTGATATTCTTTTCGTTTTTGTTTTTAAAATCCTAAACATTTTATTTTCCTTCAAATTCAATCAACTACAAGGTAAGGCCTAGACAATTAGGTCCTTTACTTTCTTCAAATTGTTTCGGCTCAAGGTAAGGCCCATGCCTAACCCTAGGCCAACGTGCTTCTGCCACTGTTACTCACATTACCAAACTCCTCCCTCATCCTCAAACCTAAATTCAATAATTTTTCACATGATATAACCGAATATAAACACAACAAATTAGAGAGTTAGTTATATTCAATATGAATCCACAAAAGCTCATTCAATTCCAACTCCAAATCAATAAACTATCAAAAACAGTTAGCAAAGATCAAACATCATTGAGCCCTCAACAATTGCCCTATATCATAACCTCCACCCAAGCATCAACCTTTAAAATCTCACCAACCAATTCTCCTTACAAACAAACCACCAAAAAAATCTATGACATCTTTTTTGCATGAAAATAGTTGGTTTTTCTTGGGCAACATGAGATATTTAGAGGTTAGAGCAATAAAAGTTATAAAAAAAAAAGAAAAGAAAAAACCCACATCATATCACACCAACAAACCTATTGAAGACTTACCATGGTGGACCTCCTTGCTCTGTTCTAAAGATTATGGATGACTATGCAAGCAATTCTAAATGATTAGAGTACAAATTTAATTTACCCGTCCGAAAAGTTTGAACTGACTAAGAAGTCTCTCCCTCTTTCGCTCTAAAAAGTAAAAACCCTAACGAACAAAGAACCTCTGCAAATCCGAACGTTCCTCTCCGAGCTTCAACCATGTACGGTGGTGGTGAGTCTGCAATATTCTCTCCGATAACCCCTGATAATTGCTTCGTTTCAGTTTGTTTAGTTAAGAAAAAGATTTAATCTCGTACATGCATACGCAGATGAAGTATCAGCTATAGTTATAGACCTGGGTTCTCACACCTGCAAGGCGGGTTACGCTGGTGAAGATACTCCTAAGGCCGTCTTTCCATCTGTAAGTCTCAACCTTTCGCTCAAAGTTTTAGGCCCACAATGTCAAAATTAAAGCTTGTTCTATGCTTTTATGTTGGTGATGATGTTTCTTTAGGTTGTTGGCTCCATTGACCAAATGAATGTTGATGAAGAAACGGAAAATAACACTGTGAAGAGTGACTCCAAGGGTAACAATGTTGACCCCAATTCTAACAAGCGGAAGGGGAAACGGAAATTATATGTGGGATCTCAATCTTTAGGCTTTCGTCGTGACCATATGGAGGTCAGCTCCTTGTTTCTGTTTCCTTTTCTTTCTTTTGTATTGATAGTTTGATTTTTAGTGGTTTTCTCACTTAAACAGTTTTCACTTGTATCAGGTGCTGTCACCCTTAAAGGATGGAGTTGTTCTTGACTGGGATATTGTGGACAGCATATGGGCCCATGCATTGAAGTATGCCTCTATTATTAATCATTTCTTTCTGTGTCTTAGTTGTTCATGGTGCAATCCTTTAAGGCTATTGTTGCTCTTCAGGGAATGTTTGCTGATTGATCCCAAGGAACATCCTATGCTGCTTGCAGAGCCATCTTCCAACAATCAACAACAAAGGGAGAGGTAATTTGGCATTCCTTTTATGCTTATGATGTAAGTGATTTGTAGAATTATGAACTTTAATGAGCTACATGTCTAACAGGACAGCAGAGCTTATGTTTGAAAAATACAAGGTCCCTGCATTATTTTTGGCCAAGAATGCAGTATGTCCCTGCTCTGTTTTGCACCTGTTACTTCATCTCAAAGTCCCTCTCTCTCTTTTTTTTTATTTTTATTTGATTTTATTTAAAGCGCATGACTTGTGACTTTGTCTGTAATTGTAATACATGTTGGTGCCAGGTTCTCACATCTTTTGCATCAGGGCGTGCTACCTCTGTAGTTGTTGATAGGTATGGTTGTATTTACTCTTAATTGGTTACTCTTTTCTTTTTCTTCTGTGTTTTCACAATGTGCCATTCTGCTGTTATTTTATAATCATAATCTCCTTCAGCGGTGGAGGATCAACTACAGTTGTTCCAGTACATGATGGTTATGTTCTTCAGAAGGTATTCCTACTTTTCTAGTTGAGTGGTGTCACCGGTGACAATCATTTTTTTTTTTTTTTTGTAGATTGGATGTTTTACATTTAAATTTGCAACTATAAGCAAAATCCTTTTTGATGATGTACGGTAGCTGCATCATCTGCTGCAAATATTTTCAGCTGTATTATCTCTATGCCAATACATAGCCCTTGTTTCATTGATTTTTGTCCAAAACTTAGGCCAGAGTTTGTTTCTTACTCAGTACATTTTTTATAATTTCAATTCTCTGTATCTCTTCTGGTAAAACTATTAAAATTTCTTTGGAAAATCCTTAACCATAATAAATTTTTGGAAGATCTGGCATGCACTATTGATGTTTACTAAGCTCACAGGCCAAGTTTCGTTGGCAATGTATGAGTGGCAATTTTCTAGTCATAATGATTTTATAGCACAGCCAAGAATCATGGACCTTGCTTTACAAGTTAATCTTTAGAAATGTTTCTTTTATTCCAAGTGAAGTTTTTCCATAGAAATGTTTCTGCATCTTTTCAACACATTTATTGACAAAAATTTAAAGATTTTCTGGTGGACTAGATAGGACTTAAGCTATTTGTTACCTTATGCATTTGATTAATCACCTGTCACAATTTTATTAATTTATTACCATATGCTCAGCACTGATGTTCACTTTTTCTCCATTGTTGTTTTTGTGATGGCAGGCTGTGTCATCTTCTCCAATTGGAGGAGAGTTTCTTACTGATTGCTTAATGAAAAGCTTGCAAAGCAAACATATAGTGGTAAATGGCTAAGGATTAAGGATGTGATTTTTTTTTTTTTTCCTTTTTAAAGTATTCAAAGTTATTGCCAAAGATTGGCTATTTATTAATTTCAAGTTCTTCCTTGGTTTTGCAGATAAAACCAAGGTACTCTTTCAAGAGAAAGGAAATACAACCAGGGGAGTTTCAGGTACTTTTGTAATGTCAGGGTGTTTGGGTTTTACTCCATGATTCATTGCTTCCATTTCATATTAACTTCCTGGGTACATATTATAATCTTTGATTTTCATTTATCAAGATCAACAGTAGTTGGAGAAATAATTGAAATGAAGTTGTTTTAGTCTACCTGAAGACACAATTTATCAAACTAACATTTAAATGATTTTGGTGCACCTTTCAGACTAGCATTTCTTCCCAAGTTAACCAAAGATGGGCAGTTATATTTTTCTTTATCTGCTGTCTGGAACTTGCTGCTGTATATGTCAACTAACTGTCTACATTGTTATGATGTTATCTTAAATATTCTACTTCATTTTTGTTTTTCTCACAGACAGTAGATCTTGATTTTCCAAATACAACAGAAAGTTACAAGCTCTATTCCCAGGTCCATAATTGATCACAATATTCCTTGTTGAGAGGCTTCATTTTTTTTATACATTTGGTATAACTCCTATTAATTGCCCTTTTGCAATAGAGAGTAATTGCAAGTGATATTAAGGAGTCTGTGTGTCGGGCCCCAGATACTCCATATGATGGTTTGTATTCCTAATCCAGTTTTTCAAGTCATGTTTACTTGCTACTCTGTAAATCACATGACTTTTGATTCTTTTAGCAAAAGTACTGTATTTATGTTTTTTAGACATAATTTAGGATGCCTCATTATTTTAGACCATAGCAATTTATCAATGCTTTTAAAATTTTCTTTAGCTACACTAATATTAATGGTAGTCCTCTTTCATCTACTTTGATCCTTAAGATTTTAAATGCAAGTTACAATTCCATAAGACCCATTTTTTGAGGTTCCCAAAATTCTGAGTATGTCAAGCATTCTGATTTGGTTGCTTCCTTTGTAGAGAGTGCATATGCAAATATACCAATGACTTCTTATGAGCTTCCAGATGGCCAGTAAGTTTCTTGTAATTTATTGGTAACACTTTCACTTTGTGTTTTGTTTTGACTTCATTAAGTTTCATTCACTTCCCATTACTAGGTAGTTTAACCATCTAGAAGTCAACTGAAACTGAATGAACCTAGTTTAACTTCAGAAGTATTGTCTTGGGGCCTCATCTCAATTATAAGTTATTTCTATCTTATCCTGCATTTGTGTTTTACGCTTAATGCAGGACAATTGAAATTGGAGCTGATAGATTCAAAATACCTGATATTCTGTTCAACCCTTCTTTGGCTCAGGTGGGCAGCTTGTGAATTTTTCAGATGCCTGATTTCATCATCCACTTTCTTTTCTTTGGGCACAGTTCTTATTGAATCTGTTGTAATTTTCGTTTATTTGTTGCTTTGTCAAATATTGGTTCACTTACAAATTTCCAGTTAAAGTCATTTGAGACTATTATATTGAGAACGTTTAAAGGCCCCTTATATCTAGGTTATTTTTTTTTTTAATGATTAGACTACCAGTTTGTATTGAGATAGCTTTTTTTTTTATATCCTCTGATATCAGACAATTCCCGGAATGGAGAATTTTGCTGAGGTTGCACCTTCCATTCGTGGCTTGCCTCAAATGGTACATGCTTTCTTGCGTGCATGCATTTCAGCACCATCTTCTCACAAACATCTTCAGTGTAGTTTTATAAATATCAGTTAGTTAAGCATTTTCTAATCTTTTGCAGGTTTTAGAAAGCATTAACAAATGCGATGTGGATATTCGGAAAGAGTTGTTCGGTAGTATTCTGGTAAGGTCAATCCAAGGGTTTAGTTTTACTGATTCCTTTCCTTGCTTTTTTTTTTTTTTTTCCTTTGGCCAACCAGAAGATAAATTCCTTTCCTTGCTCTCTTGTTAATTTTCATTGATTCCTAGTTAGGTTTTAAGTATGCAGAAATGTGCATGATAAATTGATATTTAGATCTAGGCAGTCTTCTTCTCTGCCTCCTTTTTGTGGTTAGCTTGTTTTATAATTGCCCATTCGTTTATATTCTGGTTTTTTATTCTCGTGATTACTTTACAAATTTTCTTCCTTCTGGTATAGCTTGCTGGTGGCACAGCATCGATGCAACAGTTGAAAGAACGTCTTGAGAAAGACTTGCTAGAGGTATCATTTCCTGTATCTTTCATTATTTTTTTTTTTTTCACTACAAAAATTTTCATTTATGATTTATTGTAAAAAAAGAAAAGGAGAAAGTCAAAAGAAGAGAAAAACCCAATCCTCTTCCCATCTTGTCTCTCTCCTGCTGTTGCAATTATCCACAATACAAGCTGTATAATAAATCAATGAAAAACACTTTATTTTTGTTAATTCTCATTGCATCCTTTTTTTTATATACTATTAGTTTAATGCATTTGCATTGAATTAGTGAAGGCACTTCTGTAATTGGGGAAATTCATCTTTTTTGTCCTAACAATATGATTACATCAATATATGCAGGAGTCACCTCAAGCTGCTAGGGTTAAAGTATTGGCAAGTGGAAATGCAACAGAAAGGAGGTTCAGGTTGATAACATTTTGTGAGATTTAAAATAGCCTTTAATTTTAAAGCATGGTTATGGTAGCCCATGATAATGACTTCTTGTTCATTCTTTGTTTTGACCTAACTGAGTGCTGGTAATATGAATAAAAAGCAGTGTTTGGATAGGAGGGAGTATATTAGCATCGCTTGGTTCATTCCAGCAACTGTGGTTCTCCAAGTCTGAGTAAGTTCCATTTTTCTGATCCAGAAATCTTTCAATGCTTGTTTATTTTCCCAAATCTCAAACACATTCAATTCAGTTCAATTTGTAAGTCTTTCAAGACCAGTGCCTCGTACAGTTTACGTAAATTTCCTTTTCAAATTACTTCATTATGAACTGACAGGTATGAAGAGCATGGGGCATCATATATACAAAGGAAATGCCCTTAGGATGTAAGGATGATGTGCAGCATTAGCATCAATTGCCAAAGTAAATCAAATGACCAGGTCTTTGAATGCTCAAAACTTCCCTTACTGTTTAGCCAAGCCACTAATAAGCTCACCCATTATATGTGCAGAATCACCTTCAAATTCTTTGTATGCTTCTTGTGCTAACTACTTTCAGACTGATGTATGTAGCTTCTGTGCTAAAGCTTGGTCTCCATGACACAAAGACAATGCATTAACTTACACACCTGTACCATTATAGTCACATATGCTGCTGCTGATTTTTTCATGTGCTAAGATATTTGACCATTTGTTAAGTTATATACTGTCTTCCATTATTATCTCAGTCAGCTTTCTTCTGATCATTGGCACCAGAAAAAATGGGTTTTTCTCTTTCTTTGTTTTTTTATTCTTCAATCTTTACAATGTGAAAAGGATGTTGGCACATGCAGTTGCACATGGGAGAGAATATAATGCTTATCTTGTCGAAGGGTATTTTCTAAGCAATCAGTAGGAGAAGCACATGACAAATGGTATCAAATTACTCATACAGCACGCAAAAGTCTCACACCCAAAAGCCAATACACCATGGGGCACTAATATTCCCCCAAAGGTCAGAAAATACAACTCAAGCCCAAACCAATAGGGAAGATGGTATGTGGTCCTACTGAAAACAGCCTGTTGAAGGAATGCCCCAAATAATAATGCAAAGTGTGATGGTCACATGGAATAAAAAAGCAAACTGACAACCCACACATGACATTGTCCAACACTTGCACATGCTCTCTGTCTCCTCCCTCACAGCACCATCCCCTCCCTAATCTACTTCAAAACACTCAATCACTATCATTAAAACCCAAGTCACCAAAACCCTATTTTTCACCAGGTTTTTTTTCTTCTTCTTTTCTCCATCTATATCTTGTACAAAGCCATAAAAAGTAAAACCATTAGTCAGAAAATGATCTTATATTTGCACTTTTAGTACTTTGTTATTTAGTCCCATGAATGTTAACCAATTCTATAGTTGAGCTTCAGTTGGCTTGCGGGCTGCTAACAAGGTGCATGGGAGGTGCCTGTGGCACGTGATGAGGTGGTCGTTGGTTAGACCCGCAGCTTGCATGAAGGAGTGGATCACAGTTGGTCCAACAAACCGGAACCCCCTCCTCACCATGTCCTTGCTTATGCTCTCTGATTTTGAGGTCTTGACTGGGATCTTATGACCAAATTTGTACTGGGTAGAAATTGGCTTGTGATTCACAAACCCCCATATGTACTTCTCAAATGATCCAAACTCTTTCTTAACCTGCCAGAACCAACTAAAATTCAGCACCTTCATAAAAAGTAGGAATAGAAAAATGGTACTTTTTTGTGAACCAACTTTGTGAACTCAATGAGAGATTGAGATAAGTAATAGTATATGTCCCACATTACTTTTCTTTTTCTCGAAGAATATAGCCATCATATTTAATAGCTTGATAGTGATAAACAGCTAACTACTAAGCTGTGCAAAATCAAGTCTTGAAACTAGAAAGCAGAGGGCCATAGTTAGTACCAAAGTAGCAATAATGAAGACTAGTTCGTTGCATAGTGTATAATCTGATTTGTTAAAAAAATATTTTACCTCGAGAATTCGGTTAGAATTGTCAACTACACCGCGAACTCGGCTTATTTCAATCCCATATTCTGAGGTAATTGCCATCATTTGTTTATCTGTGAAGTTGGCTATGGCTTCTGCATCAAATCCTGAAAATGCATCCCTGAAGAACGGTAGAAGTTAGCACAATTTAAAGCATGTTAAAACTATTTATCCAATCTTTATGAGATTTGAAAACCCACCTGAAATCTTGTCTTTTCTTCAAGATTGAAGTCCAATCTGACCCAACTTGAGCCCCACTTAAAACTAGCAACTCAAACAACATCCTGGATCAAATGTAATCAAATTAGATTAAACTCCTTATTACACAATATGAAAACAGAGAGTTAAAGGAGGAAAAGAAAGAGTTAATAAAGTACTTGTCATCATGGACTGGAACTCCCCACTCTTCATCGTGATAAGCAACATAGATTGGATCTGCAGAAAACAATAAACCTAATTATTACAATGATGAAGAAAGCAGCATGACCAAAATTCATAGAATCATTTTTTTCTTTTTCTCGTTACCTGAATTGGATGTGATAAAGCTGCATCTCTTCTTCTCCTCACTTGACTCTGTTTCTTCTGAAGTTGAGGTCTCCAGAGGAACAACCTTGGCTTCAAACTTGGCAGATTTTGATCTTCCATAATGAGCAATTCTCATCTTTCTTTCTGCCTGTTGAAGTGCCATTTGTTCCCTCCTCACCGCGGCTATGCTCCCTGGTGACTCTAGGATCAAAGAAGTATAGCTCAATGATGCCTCACCTTCCTTAAAACTTTTTGATTTCTTCCTTTCCAAGGTCTTTGTGATGCTGTTTTTAGGAATAACAACCTTCTCAGAACTAGAATTGAGCCCATTGGTGTCACTTCCCCGCTTAATGGCAGGGAGTCTGGGGGACTTGGACTTGGGTGATATAGGAGGGGTCAAGGAGGCCTTTGGTGGTGATGGGAGTGGAGGAGGAGGTGGTGGAGATGACTTTGGTAACACTTTTTTGAGTGAATTACGGCGGTCTAGACTAGGAACACGGTTGCAAGTAGGTTGAAGAACAGGACGGCCGTTGATCCTGGCCACGGCAGGGGTGGTTTCCACCCCTAAGGTCACCTTAGCCTTGGACATAGTTTTAGCTTATGGGTGGAAATGCAAAAGAACGAGACGAAGAGAA